GGAGGAGGAGGAGGAGGAGGAGGAGGCGGGAGTCGGGGCAACGTCCGGAAGACGAGAGCCTGTCGTTGCCCCTGCTCCGCGAGCCAGGAGCAGAGCACGTCACGGCGTCCACCATCGTGTTGCTGCTGCGCGGTGTTGCCGTGGCCTGCTCCCGGGGGGCCAACGTCAACGTGGCGGAGTTCCTGACGAGAGCGGCACCGCCTCCCGCGCTGGGCTCTTAGCCCTGGCTCTCCTCGGGAGGGGGGGGAGGAGCAGGAGGAGGAGGAGGAGGAGGCCCCTCGGTCTGCTGTCCACGGGTTGTGGCTAATGGTGGTTGCAAGGTGCGCCCCTAGCCACGTCGTCGTCTGAAGGCTGCGGTGCTATAGACGCTCTAGCGCCCCAGGCTGTGTCCAGGACGAGGAGGAGGAGGAGGAGGAGGAGGAGGAGAAGGAGGGGGGAGTGAACAGGAAGGTGATGAGCACGAGGAGTGAAATGATGAGGGACGCAGGGGAAGAGGGGCGCGAGGAGGAGGAGGACCAGTGCAAACCCAAGACCCAGCAACTATGTTGCAATAAACACTCCCACCAAGCTCCCTCATCACAGGGTCATATAAGTATTTCTCTTCACTGCGGGAAGAGGCCCGTTGGAACACAACCGTCTGAAAATCTTCAACCGCACCAAAGCACCATTCCTGGGACTTCAACCCCACGAAGCAACGCTACTGATACAAATTGGCGACCTTGAATCTTGTCAGAAGACCATTTCCAGGACGACAACACCCCGAAGCAACGTGATCGTCGCGCCCTGACAACCCCAAACCGTGCCAACCCACCATCTCTGGAATGCCAACCAAAAGTAGCTTCGAATTTGCTGTTGACTGTTAAAACGAATGCGCGCGGCGCTGAGGCGGACGCCACATTTTGAGAAGGAGTCGCCCTCCACCCGTGAAGCTTCTGCAACGTTTGAAACGGATGCGCGGGGCGCTAAGGCGAGAGCCACTTTTCAAAAAGTGTTCGCCCTCCATCCGTGGAATATTTTCCAATGTTTGAGACGAATGTACGTGGCACTCAAGCGAGAACCACAGTTTGAAAATTGCCCACCCTCCATCCGTGAAGCTGCTGGAACCGATCAGCTTCAGGAGCATAAGTGGCGAGGAAATCTCAGGCGAAACGCCTCGCCCGCCCTAGCGACCCGTCGCGGTGTGCGACAGGGAGGAGTTATGGATTGGCCCATGTGAAGACAACCGCCAGAGAATCCCCAATCGTGCCAGAACACCATTCCGGGGACTTCACCACCGCGAATCAACGTGACGGTTGCGTCCTGACAATACTAGATCGTGTCAGAACACCATGCCTGGGACCTCGGCCATGTGAATATGCGAAACTGCTGCAACTGTCAAGGCGAAAGTGCGCAGCGCGAAGGCGAGATCCACATGTTTAGGAAGAACCGCCCTCAATCCTTAAACTGTTTAAACAACTTGTAAGCCGAATGTCCGCGGTGCTGAGGCGACAGCCACATTTTCAAAACGGCCCCAAACATGTAAGACGAATCTGCGCGGCGCTGGGGTGAAAGCCACATTTTGGAAAGCACCCACCCTCCATCCGTGAAAAAATTGAAATGTTGCAAACTGTCAGAACGGTGTTGTCTGCTGCCAAAAAACAGAAAGGAGGAGTCTGGACCACCCCATCCCCCCCAAAACAAAATATTCGGGGGGGGTCCCGAAGCCCACCCCCGAAGGAAAATGATTCGGGGGGTCGAAAAACCCCGGCGCCCTCCAACCCCCCGGCAACGACGACGACGACGTCCGACGTTCGACGTCCGACGTCCGACGTCCGAAAGGAATGAGGGGGAGGACGAGAAGGAGGAAGAGGAATCCCCCTTGCCCCCCACACCCCTGGCAACGGCGACGTCCGACGTCCAAGAGAAATGAGAGGGGAGGAGGAGGAGGAGAACGAGGAAGAGGAGGAGGAGGAGGAGGAGGAGTGACGGGGAGGAGGAGGAAGAGGAGGAGAAGAAGAAGATTGCGGATGAAGACGACGACGACGAGGACGAGGAGGAAGACGAGGAAGAGGAGGACGAGGAGGACGAGGAGGAGGAAGAGGGAGGAGCAGGAGAGGGACGGGGAGGGGGAGAGAGAAGTGGAGCGGTAGGGGCAAGGGTAGGAGGAAGAGGAAGGGGAGGAGCAGGAGAAAGTGGAAACGAACAAGGGCGTCACAAGAGCCAGAGCAAGACGTTCGAGAAGGAGGAGGATCAGCAGGAAGGAGGGGAAAAGGAGGAGAAGAGGAAGAATTGCGGATCAGGAAAGGAAAGGAAGGAGGCAACCAGAGAGTCGCCTGAGCGGAAGAAGGATTGTCAATTCAGAGATGGCAAGCACACACACACACACACACACACACACACAAGCACACACACACACACAGTTGCCACATATCGTTGGCCCACAATGCTTGGGGCATTCGCCTTCCCGCTCCTCTGACCTAGAAATGCATTCCTCATCCAATCCCCCCCCTCGGCCTCCTCACCACTTCTCTTCCTCCGCCCCCTCCGCCAACTGTCCTCAGTCCAGGGAGAGTGATCGGGAACTCCTTAGAACTAAGCACCCGATTATTACCCCCGGTGTGCCACGACCTCCAGGGAATCGATTTCGGTTCGGCTCGTGTCGTGGATGCGGGCGAGGCGAAGCTACAGACGAGGGCCCTGGCTTCTTTCTCGATTACGCGACTCTCGCGCGATATCCTGGCGAGCGCTCCTTTCTCGCCCTCCTGCTCCCTTCTCCCCACCACCACCCGTCTTCCTTGCTGTTATCCAAGTGGCTTTCGCTACCCCGCCGACTCCCCAAAAGGAGCGCAAGCTTGCGGCGACCGTGGAAGCTGTCTAGTGGCATCCGGCACCGACATCGCGCCTGGTCTATGGACCAGCAGCCTTCTGGATGAAATTCTTGACGCTTCGGCGAGTCCCCTCGCTTCGTGCTGCCAGGTCCCGCATCTCGCGGCCACACCTGGCCTGCCACGGCCTGCCACCGCATTCCCCCGCCGCCCCAGCCTTGCGCATGAGGTCGCTGGGAAACCCCCCCGACCCTGGACGCAGGTCTGCGGGCCTTTCCCCTTCGTCGTGGCCACCCTGGCCGCGCCAGAGGTCTGCCTGCCGGCCTCTCCCCATTTCGGGGATTCCCTGGGGCTCCTGGGCCCGCGGCTCGCCTTGTGTCTGCCGCCTCTTTCCGCCTGGGGGGGTAGACGGACACCCGGTCCTCCCCCTCGTTGCCTCCCCCGGGACCTGCTCATGTCTCCAGGCGCTGGCTCTCGCCGACTCTTCGCTGAAGTTTGGCTTCCTCTCACCGACTCTTCGCACCATCTGGTGACCGGCGATCCGGATTTTCCGTCGAGCGCCCGCGCGTCATGATCCTCCTCTTCTGGGCCGAGGACTTCAATTACCTCGAGGTGCTGCACGACGCCCAGGTGTTCGTCCTGGTGCTGGCGCTCTTCTGAGCGGCAGTGAGGTTCGCCCGCTGCTTGTTCTCCCGCCGTCTTTCTCTTTTCTTTCCGCCCGTCTTCTGTGCGCTAATTTAGGCCGTTGGTTCGACGCTTCGTTCTGACGGCGCCCGGCGTTTTCCGGTGCGCTCGCGATCAAAAAATTCCCCACCGGCCCATCCAGACACGATCGGAGGCTTTCGCGAGGCCTCTTGGAGGCTATCACGAGCCACGTTCGGCTAGAGGCTGTCGGAGGCTATCCTGAGCCATGTTCAGCTATCTTGGACCCTCTTGCGGCTGTCTCGAGGCCCCTTGCAACACACATGCAGAGAATGTCAAAGAAGCGCAAAGGCCCCGATGGCGGTGCCAAGCCTGCTCAGTCTCCACCTCGTGCTGAAGGCGAAGCTGAGGAGGTCGGAGGCGGGGGCTCGAGCCGAGCGCCAGGTAGTCAGGATGGCCCTGACTGCGCCAGCCAGAAGTCCCGCACCGACGATCTCTTGGGGATGGAGATTGGGGGGAGGGAGGGGGGAACTACGCAAATAATTTCGGCGTTTGGATGAATTGTCAGAATTGCTGAAAATCGCCGAACTCACGCTGCGTCGTTGGTCATCGCGGCGTTTTTCTGTGACCGCCTACGCCGTTGACGTTGTGCTGCTGACGCCGCGTCGCCGACGCTGCGCCGCTGCCCGCCGCGCCCAGAGATGCCCGGAACGAGTTGGGTGAAAATCGCCAAGCTCACGTCGCCACGCTGGTCATCGCGGCGTTATCCTGCGACCGCGCGCCGCTGACACTGCGGCGTTGACGCTGCGTTGTTGAAACTACGTCGTTGACGCTGCGCTGCTGACGCTGCGGCGCTGCCTCTGCGCCGCTGCCCGTCGCGCCCAGGAACGCCCGGAACGAGCTTGGCGAAAATTGCCGAGCTCACGCTGCGCCGTTTGTCATCACGGCGCTTTCCTGCGACCGCGCGTTGTCGACGCAGCACAGTTGGCGCAAGGATACAACATACGTTGCGAATCACAAGGTGGACGACCTGAAGAAGCATAGAGCGATGGCCGTTGAATCGCCAGCACAAAACATTTCGCTACTTCACTAACACGAAGTGTATATCATGTTGTGGCCAGATCGTCGCCGTTCTCGACATCAGAGAGCCGGCGCGAGGGATACTCACGACTATCAGTACACAGTGCAAATGTTGAAGTTGTTTCTGCAGTTTCTGAATGAGTTGTTGGTCGACACTCTCCAGCTATACTTTGCGCATTTTTTGGCGCGTCTGGAAATCAATATCGCAGCGCAGCCAGTTGTCTATGAATCGCGACAAAAAAGGCCCACACACACACACACACACACACACACACACACACACACACACACACACACACACACACACACACACACACACACACAACCTCCAACGAGTGCGACACCCCAAACAAACGAAAGCGCCATCATATTGCGAGCCACGGGCGCAGCGGGCGTGCCTCAGGATCGGCAGCAGGGACAGCCCCGCGCGAGGCTCGACGCGATTCGCACGCTCTCGGGCGCCGATGACGAAAGAGTTTTCCGCCCATTGGCATCAATACGTTTCAATGAGGCACCCGCGGGGCCGCGGCAAAGGAGGAGCAGGAGGATGATCTGGCCGGCACGCGCCACGGGCAGCGGTCAGCGGCTTCCGCGCGCCAGACCATTTGGGCCGCGGAAGCGAGCGTCGCTCCCGCTGCCGGAACGCCGCGGGACAGCCTTGTCGCCTCGCCCACGGCGGAGCGCCCAGCCCACGGAGTGACAGGCTCTCCGGGCCATGCCGGGGGAGTTCGTCGCGAGCCGACAAAGCGCCAGAGCCAGCGTCGCACTCGCTCGCAACGAGCGCGCCCACGGCGGAGGAGGCCCACGGCGACCAGACCCCAGGGCGCACGAACAGCACCGACGGTTTAGCGGAGGCAGAAGGCTCGGTCGCCGATCCTTGCCGGCCAGCGAGGCCATCGTTCGATGCGATTGGCGCGCGATCGAGGCTGCGGCCACTCACATCGACCAGGCGAAGTCCGCCCCGGGTGTCCTGGGTCACTTTCGCCATCCAAAGGGGCCCGAACATGCCCGCGGCGAGATCGGCTTCCAGCTGGCAGACACGGCCCTGCACGTCAGCCGGAAGGCGCAGCCCGCGGCGCTGGCTGACCAGCTGCTCTTCGCGCAGCTGGGTC